GAGCAATCACCATGGACACTGATGGATTGTTTTCACTGATTAATTCCCTTTTTGTACTTTGCCTTTCTTTTCTGTTATCAAAATGTTTATATCTACCATTTTGTATACCTTCCTTATATCTATTACTATTAGTTTTATATGAAACTGGTCTCAAGATATTTACAGGAACATTATAGCCTTTAGAACACAAATCTGTATTCCTAACACTATAATATCCCCATCTCTACTCTTTTTCAGGTCCCCTTTTCTTTACTTACCTTTTTCCAGAGCCAAGGTTCTTTCTGCACTGTTCACCTCTCTGCCTCCTGTGATACTGGTGTCCTCATAGAGGAGCATTTGGGACCTAATGTGCATGCGCATGAAGCACCACACGCACATTCCAACTTTCCCATAGGAAAGGATTGATTCAATGCTTTCCTTTTGGGCTCCCATGTCACATGAATCAGTTTTACTTGGTCAATACCATACTGACAGCCAGTAGAGGTGGATTTAACCATGCAATGTAAACATTACAGTTTCTAAAAAGGATTTCCTTAAAGGGTTACTGCTAATGCTTACTCAACAAATGGTCACAGTTGTATAGTAAAATATTTGCCAGTTTTTGGTATTTTTCTATGTTATTCTTACTGTTCGTGTGTGGAATCTGATCAGATCAAAATAACCCTTGCTATACTCTTACAAAAATAAAGCTTCAAAGAAAACGAATTACAAGAAATGTTGCTGATTTAATAGAAATAAAAATAAATGAAGCATCTATTCACTTTTATTTTATTCCTGGAACACACTGTAAGAGAAGGTAAAATATACTGTATGTGTTTTTGTTTCTTTGGAAAGAAAAAATGTGGTCTGTGGGATGAGTGAATGCTAAACAATACAACGATTATAATGGATGAAGAAACACTTTCTTTGTAAATCTAATCATTTTAGTTAATACTTTGACTTCGTTCAGATAATTTCCTGTATTGAGAATCATGAGTTTACTTCCAGATGAACTATCTGCATATTTTATCTGAAAGTGACTGCAGGAGAATTACAAGAAGTCTGTATGACTCACAGCCCCATAAAATCACAGTAAAATGATTGTCAAACTAAACCAAAAGGTCGAGGTGAATACACGTATATACTTATACTGTTGGTTTTAATTCTCTATTTTAGGAAGCACTATGTGTTTGTTTTTGTGTGTTTTTAAAACATAATTGATTGTCAAGTGCAGAATTTGACAATAATTATCTTCTTGTGCATTACAAACTATTTGGATGGTAGGTACATAGGAAGTACCACATTTGTTAAAGGGTGTAGGAGCATGAGATGACATAGGTAGAGCCATAGTGTGACGAAAGTAACCTCGTCACAGGCTTTTGGAGGGGCCTGTTTGCCAGCCTCCTACCCTGTTATTATGGCCCTGTGCAGGGCCGGCGCGTCCATTAGGCGGCACAGGCGGCCGCCTTAGGGCGCACGGGCTCTGGGGGCGCAATATTTCAGTGACCGGCAGGAGGAAAGCTCTCCCTCCTGCCAGGCCACCATCTCGACCCCCGGCGCAGCGCGCGGCAGTGCTGTGATCAGGTGCGCGAGGGAGCTCTAATCTCCACCCTCTGCTCCCTCGCGCGCTGCCTACTGATGCCGCGGGAGCCGGAATATGACGTCATCAGTAGGCAGCCCGCGAGGGAGCAGAGGATGGAGATTAGAGCTCCCTCGCACGCCTGATCACAGCACTGCCGCGCGCCTCTCAGCACCCCCAGCCCTCAGGGACCGAT